CTCTCTTCCCAGGCCTGACCTCAGCCAGAACTTCCTCCAGGATCCGGAGGGCAAAGGCCCAGCACAGGCCCCTCCAACAAAGATTTATTGCTCAAGTCACCCCAGGGGCTGGCAGGGGTGAGGGGTGAGAGGCTTAGCAGTTACTCCAGACAACAGAAATCAAATTGGCTCAACCACAGCATAGAGTTCAGGATGGGAACACAAACTTGGAATGCTAAACCACACAGAAATGCATTCAGACAACAAAATGAGAGAGAGCATGAAGGAGGACTGGGAGGTGGGGGTGGAGGTGGGGTGGAGAGGAAGAAGAAGGAGCAGGGAAGGTGGGAATGAGGGAGGAATGAACCAGAAAAGTTGTTGTTGGGGGGCGGGGGGTAGTCAAGAAAACCAAACGACAAACCAGGAAACACAGCTTTGTAGCTCATTTGGAGAAAATGCAAGTTACAAATGAGTAGTCACTAAAATAAAGAAAGAAAAGGGAAGGGAAGAAAACCAACCAGAGTGAGACTGAGAGAAAGAGGAAGAAAACCACATTCAAACCAAGCAGAGTGGCAGGGCTTATCTGGAGATGGGAGCGAGCGAGCGCACAGCTGAGCTGGGATACCTACCTTCTCAGTGGTCAGGGACGGGAATGCAATAATAAAAAAGAAAAGAAGGTCTCCGCATTGGGAATGCAGAATGGGGAAAGACAGTGACTTTGAGCTGCGCTCCCCCTCTGAGTTGGCATATGGCAGCTAAGTGTGGCTTTTGGTCTAGTCCCAGGGACGGCAGGGGCCTCCTGCCCAGCCATTTCTGTTTGCTTTCCCCCCTCCCACCACAGGTTCCAATAGCCAAGCTTTTCTTAACTCTTTAAACAACAGAAAACCTCCAGAGGGCATGCAGGAAGCAGCTGATGGAAGCAGAACCACAGGGCAGGTGAAGGAGGGGCTTGCAGCCTGGGGAGAGAGGCCCATTTCAGGGGGGGATGGAGAGAAAGAGACAGAGAGGCTCAAGGAGAGAGAGAGAGAGAGAGAGAGAGAGAGAGAGAGAGAGAGAGAGAGAGAGAGAGAGAAGCAAAGGCAGAAGGAAGAAGGAAATAGAGACACAGAGAAAGGTGGACCCAGCCAGAAAGAAGAAAGAGAAGCTGTTTAAACAAGGCCAATCAGAGTGGACAGATGGGGTGAAGTGGGAACTGTGCATTTAAAAGGGAAGGCAACCACAGATTCAATGTGGAGGACTGATCCTGCCTCAAGTCAACCTTATTCCCTTTCCCCCTGGCTTCAGCACCATTTAGCAAAATTCATCCCTCCTGCTTTCTGGCTTCAGCCTAGAAGAAATGCCAAGGTGTCCCTTCCTATTCTGGCTTCCCCACTCCAGCCACGGTCACTGCTCTCCCCTGGGGTGTCGAGGAGAGAGGCCTTGATGAGACAGGTCAGGCAGTGCCATGGACACCTCTTCTTGGGGTCACTCTAGGCTTCCCATTTTGAGATGAAATTTGAACCAGAGGCCGAGGCCAGAGAGCCTGGGGGCTTTGCTCACGAAGCATCTCAGCAAATGGTGAGGCTTCCCTCGACACTCCCAATGCTAGGGCCAGGTGGAGCCAAGGAAGGGGCCCTACTCCTAAGGCTGCAATCCCTGCACACCCTATCTGGCCAGTTCGCTGGGCTTTGGACTTTTCTACCCCACATTGCGTGACCTTGAGCAGCTTCCTTTCCCTCATTGTGCCTCATTATTTCTTTCCCCACATGGGTTTGAACTGTGAGGGCTTAGGGTTCCCCGAGTTGCTAAAGCTGCAGTCATATAAAGTTGTGCAACACCAGGCTCACCTATACCCTGGGGAGTTCAGAGAGCCAACAACATCTAGAGGGGTCCCCAGGGGAAAGGTAAGAGCTGAGGCCACCAGAATCCACTTCCCAAATCCTCCTCCTCCTCCTCCTCCTCCTCCTCCTCCTCCTCCTCCTCCTCCTCCTATTCAGGCTCCTGAAGTGTGCTTCCCATTGACTACCATCTCCACATCTTGGCTGTGGCCAGGGTCTTGAGGTTAGAGGGTCTCCTTTCTAGATCTGCCTCTAAAATGCTGTGTGTCTTGAGCTGGTCATTTGACCTCTGTGAGCTGCAGAGAGCAGTAGGCAGCAGAACCCAGAAATCCCTTTGGGGGTTCAGCCCTGGCCTGGGATGGGACAACAAAGAGATGTTGGGAGCCAGCATCCTATGGCCTCAGTCTCAAAACCAGGATGGATTTTTTTTCTCCCGGTTGGGAGTGTCTGGCTTTGAAGCCCTCACCTGAACTAAACTCTCTCCGGTGTCTCCAGCACCCTCTTCCAGGCTCGCCCTGCCATGCCCAGCCATCATCTTATGCCAGACAGAACCGAGGAGACACAGGAAGCTCACTGCTCTGAATACAAACCCAGGGACTGGGACAAGTCTCTCCCTCCTTGGGTCTCCAGCTTCTCTCCAAAGTTCCTTATAGACAGGGACCCAGAGTACGGTTTGCACCACTTTTGTTCATTTGAAAGCTGAGGCAGTTCCACCAGTGCCCTTTGCCTGGGGTTGAGGGAAGGGATGGCTGCTGCAGATTTGGCAGAAGCTGTTGGCCTGGGCAACGATTTTTTTAAGTGTTATCTTCCCTTTTAAATTCTGATTACAAAGGAAAAATAATTATATAGAGGTATGCATATGATTAATGTTCCCTGAGATTCAAAAACCATTTCTGCATTAGGAGGAGAGGCTCCCACAGTAACGCACAAAAGCAAAATTCTAGAACAACAGAGAAGATAGAAAAAAACCCAGAGAGATAGTTTGCATTTCTGTACATTACAAAAGAAAAAGAAAAGAAAAAGAAAATACAAACAAAAATGAAATAAAATAACAGGAAGAGTTACAGAAACTTCCCCACCCTCTTCCCTTGCCACTAAACAAGAAATGGAATCACAATATTACCACGTTTCAAATGGGAGGCTAAAAACAAAAACAAAAACAGAAACATAGACGGGGTTAAGAATGGTGAGCTTTTCTTTTTCCATTTGTCTCTCTCTCTCTTTTTAAAGGTGAGAGTCCAAGAATATCACCCCCAGTGCTTTTCCCAAAAAACATTTTTGGTTAATGGCAAAGTCTATGACCCCCATCTCACCTCCCAGGAGGCAAGAGAGAACCAGCCTCATCTCACTTTAAGAGAGGCTCTAAGGGCAAGGAGGGGATCTGGGTGCAGGTGAGAGGCAGGGGATGCTCAGCAGTCTTTGAACTCCCAGAGCCCAGAGGGTAGAGAGAGAATTGGGGGACCATGTTTTGTGAAAGGAGTAACGAAGTGTTGCCTCCCAGGGCAATGTCAAAATGGAGTCCCACTTTGGGAGGGAGAAGATTGGGGTGCTGCCAAGGCTTCCTCCCCAGGCCAGCGGCTAGGCCACCTTCCCTGACTGCTTGCTCCTAGGGTCTACCTAGTTGCTGTGACCATTTTGTCTGCACATGCCCAGGCTCTTGTGGGGGCTACTGCTTAGGCATCCAAGGCTGGGGAGGGGACCAGCAGTGGGAAGGGGCCTCCTTTCCACCCTGACCTGGAAAAACATGCCTTTCGGTGCCTCCAGGAGAAGGTGTTTGGGGCACTGTGCTGTTCAGGCTTTGTGTCCATGGGGTAGGACATTGGGCATCATGTCTCACACCTGTCCCTGTCCTGTTTGCCCTCAGCTACCGCTGCGTGCTCTCTCCCACACCCAGGACAGATCCAGGGACATTGGTGTGATTCTTCCCAGGAGGCCCGACCAGGCCCCTCAGCACTCAAAAGCCTGGCACCCTGTCCAGGAGGGGCAGTTTCCACACAGGTAACGTCCTTAAACAAAAATTAACCTTGAGACCAAAAGCCTTTTGTCAGGTGCCCTTTGACTTTCCTTGCTGAGGTCCTGGACTAAGGGTATTTGAGAAAAGAAAGGGAGTGAAACGAAAACAGCCAAAAAGCAAAACGAAACTGACATGTACAGGTTTGCTCTGAGACCTGAGGTCTGGGGAGGAGCAGCGCCCCCTCTCCGCTAGGGTTTCTGGGCTGCCTGTGTGTGTGTGTGTGTGTGTGTGTGTGTGTGTGTAGGGGGGGCGGGACCTGCAGACTGCCCACCCTAAGTCCCCTGTGCCCGCCCACTGCCCCTGTCAGTGCTGTAGTCCCTTCTCCCTGAGGGGGCCTCTACACTGTACTCTAATATCAACAGACAAAAGGGGGCTACAGGCCTCTCCCATGGCCTAGGAGAACCCCTACCATCCAGCTGTGAGCTCCTACAATCACCACACCTGCCCACGGGTTTCAAGAAATCTGTGCGCCTCCTGGAGAATGGATGAGGACAGTTTTTGGGGTGGTGTTGGTGTGGTCTCCCAGGGAGCAATAGGTACACTGGGAGGTGCCTTAGGAAAGATGGGAACGTGGAACCCCCAGGTTTGAGACACCTGTCCAGATGAGGGCAGTGGCTGGGAA